TCATGCATTGACCGTTTCAACGCGTCACACCCCCCACCTAAACCCTAAACCCTAAACCCTAAACCCTAAACCCTAAACCCTAAACCCTAAACCCAAACCCCCTCCCCCCCCTGGCACTCACCGAAAGTCTTGGGGCCCGGACCCAGCTCAGCTGGCTGCGAGGAGCGTGCCTCCCACACACGTCTGGGTTTAGGGTTTAGGGTTTGGGGTTTATAGTGTTTATTTATGAGGATTAGGGGTTGATAGGGGTTTAGTTTCGGGGTTTAGGGTTTGGGGTATACGTGTCTCTACACAGAATCGAAGCTGTCCTATTCAGTTCTTCTGTGCAGGTTGGGATACGGGTAGGGTTTGAGGGATTCTATTATCGTGTTTGTCGTCTTGGGTTCCTAAAGTTCAAGCTACGCTGAGTAGGAGTGCACAGGGCCTGCAGGGTTCTATATGCTATAGGCTATAGCCCTAAACCGCTAAGTTCTAATCCAAGCCATGGTCTGTGACGATCCTAAACCCTAAGCCCTAAATCCTACACCCGCCCGAACCCTAAAGCCTGAGCCCTACACCCTAAACCCTACAGGACGTACGGGGTGCTTACGGTGTGCGAGATCAGCTGGCGGCTCCGAAGCAGCGTCATGTGTGTGGTACTTGCTGAGGTTCTTAGTAGGCAAGGCCGAAATAGGGCTGTCAATATAAGGTATCTACATGTATGAGTCTGCTATAACTTGATAATGACTCTAAATCGTAAACCATCAACCTTCGAAGCATCATGCTTATACTGCGTTCCACGGTCCTTGAAGTAGTCCGCCTGAGTCTATCTCCAAAGTAGACTGTCATATTAATCTCTGTAGCCAAGAACCACAGCTGCATGAAAGAGCTCGAGGGTTTCTGTGGTTTGGGCCTTTCAACTTGATGTTATATCATAGCGTCTGTTTTGACTTCGGAACAGCCGCTTGCTGGCAACCATGCTACAGCTCGCTGGAGGAAATGCTCATCACCTCCTCCACATCCACTCGGATCGGTGGGCCAACCTTCGTGCTGGAGCCGACCACACTGTCCAAGCGAGAAGCTGGCACGGACAGCTTGCCCCGAACCTCCATCACGAGTGGGGGTACTGGGCAACCTCGTGTTCCGGCACTGAGCTGCTGGTGCTGGAAGAAGTGTTTTTGGCCCGGCTGTCTCTGGTGGAACCCCCACAGGATGGGTTGTCGATGCTTGGATCCACTGATGCAGCGGTGCTCGTCGGTCGCTTTGGTGCCGGTGTTTGGTCCCGGCTTTGGCGTGTCCGAGGGATTGGGCTTAAGCATGCTTCTGGACCTCCAGACATACGTATGCGGCCACCAAACAGTTCGAGAAGCTTTACTCCAACAACTCCTGCTTGAAACTATCACAACTTGTTTTTTGGTAGTGTCCCGCTATAAACCATATACACCATACGTGAGACTCCAAACAGGAGCGGCTAAGCGGCGTCTGGTAGGTCAAGGTAAAATCCTGCAACACGCGCTTGAGGATGCGGTGAGAAAAGCGATGTATTCTGTCAACCACGCAAATTCGGAACCCAAATGTGGAGCATAGTGCCATACAGGCCCCAACAGAGCCCAACCCCCAGCGCCGTACCACCCAAATCAAACAAGAGCTAAGCTCCCGACGCTGACACCTTTCTGTCGAAACCATGCACCCTAAGTTCACTGTCCCGTAGACCTCAAACATATCCCTCAGCCCAAACCCTCTGATTAAACCCTATACACCTGAGGCTCAAATCTTATCCCGTATACCAGAATCCAAGAAAAAAACATGGGAAATCAAAGCCCTAAACCCTAAACCCAAAGCCCCTATATAAAACCTAAACCAACCCTTCCAACTATCCGAAGCACAGGTCCACGGCCTGGCCGTGCTGCTGTTGGCCTCTGGTCTTACGGTGCTTCGGTTTAGAGGGTTCGGGGTTTAGGGTTTAAGGGTTTATGGGGTTATAGGGTTTAACTGCACGATGACACCAAGCTAGCAACATACCGAATTACATGGCGCAGAACCCCGAAACTAAACGAAGCTCTCTCACATATAGCATATCTTGCTAGAATTGTGCTATTCGATTAGATTGTCATATACATAGTACGACATTGTGTTATATTACAGTATACACATCTTTCAGAAGATGAGGTTCTGACTTCCTCGTCCCGGCACTCGGGGGACTTCTCCTGAGCAAGATGCGTTTGGGTCTTTGGTGGTCTTTGGGGTGTTTGGCGGGTCCAGGACGAGAACTCGAAAGTCTTTTCCCGAACCTCCCCGACTGCTACAACTACATAGTCTTGCTAAAGCCTCACACTATTGAAGACACCAGCGTCGAGCATGACTGACCGTAACAGCCTGACAAGGCAAGCTGTGTGTTGCTGCTCGTCCTCGCGAGCCACGATGTTGTAGGCACGGAGCCCGAAATCTAGGTACCCTCCACCGCCGTAAACCTGACCCTGCGCTGCGTAAGCTGAATTGTTTGCACTGAAGGCCAGGACAACGTCCAGCAAAGGCTGCTTTGATGTAGCAAAGCTGTCCGCGGTTTTTTTCCAACTCTTATCCCGATCATTCCGCGTGCTAACTCTGACGACAATTACCTGCGGCTTACTGCTACTCAAAGGGGTAATACATATCCTGAAACTAGGGGGCAAAAACCTACTTGTTGGTAGGCTTTGTGGCTATGGGTACGACCTGGTGTATGGCATAGACCGACATATTGGTGATTGATAACCGAGCAGCACATGGTGTCAGGTTGAAGCCTCTGGTACTCGGGGGATTACCTCAAGATCTTCTCGAGAATAACGAGCTTCCTGCTCATGGTCTGAATCTCCTGTTTCTTGCTCTTCTTCAACCTGGAATCGTCCACGGCAGTGTCACCTATCATGGGAAAGGGATCCTCTTCGCCTGGAATCGTCAACGACGGTGTCATGAATTGTGGGATAGGGATCTTCTTCGAGCCTACCCAGTGCGTGATGACCGCCGTTCTTGTCGGTATCCATGTCTGAGAGTGAAGTGCAGGCTGTGAGATTCAATGAAGCATTTTGGTAGCCTCAACGCCCCTGTCTTTCCACAATTCGCAGGTCCAAATGGTCATGGAGGTCATGACACTCTCGCCTCACTACCGCGATTATTCAGGGGCAGGAGCCCACTATTCTGTAGGATTTGGGATTGAAACTGTTGGGCTGGAAATCTGAAAAGCAGAGCATGAGCTGGACATCCGAATCGAACTTCACACCATGGCATTAACCGAGGCCCTAAACTCTATTCTACGGGCCTTACTGATGCAATTTACAACGGCGTGTCGGATAACCTTTACCATAACCAGTATATTGGGACTACAAGCGCGTGGGGTGTAAGCCTACTGTCCATGCAGACGTCTATATTAAACGCACATCCCGCTATCGACTTTGAAGGATTGGCTTCGGCTGCGACAGCGGTTGCCGATATGTTCCTGCAGCCTACTGTCCCCGACCAGAATATGCCACCAGCCTCGTAAAACCCGAATATGAAGCCAAACCAGTCTGCATTGACAAACCGAAACCCAAGCCGAGTAGAATACATAGCCCAAAGTGTCCAAGTAATGGTCGAGTATTTTTAGGTCCCAAACGCCTACTAAGTAGCTACGATATTGATACTATAATTGATACTTGGACCTAAACCCTGCAAGCAAGTTGACAACCGTCCGAATGGTACCCATACTTGGACCCTTTGGGTAGCTGGCCATATATGGCCCACTATGGTCCCGGAAGAGTCAGAGTTCCTGGTCATAATCAGCGAGAATCTACGTCCTGCTTTCCTTTCGTGGGCTTTAGGGGATGTTCGGCTTTGACAAAGCTCGATATCACATACGGCTCAGAACTTGAGGCTTCCTGAAGTTTAAGGAACCCTACGTCCTAAGCCCTAAACTTAAAGCCCCTAAGCCCGAAGGCCTAAACCCTAAACTCTATATGCCCTGAGCTCTAAACCCTGAGCCCGAAGCCCTAAACCCTGCCCTGAGTACTAAGCCCGAAACTCTGAGCCGACACTCAGGGACTGGGCCAGGCTTAGGGTTTAGGGTTTACGGTTCGGGGTTTGCGGTTTGGGGGCTGGGTGGGGGTCAGGGTTTAGGGTTTAGGGTTTAGGGTTTGGGGTTTAGGGGCTGGGTGGGGGTTCGGGTTTAGGGTTCGGGGTGTGGTCACGTCATGGGTGCTCGCTGGTGTGTGAGCACACCCAGGCCGCTCGCACCTGTGCGTAGCAGACAGCCCACCCCAAGACCACCCGAATTTCAAGCATTTTAGGGTTTAGTTCTAAAGTCTTCTAGGCATCCCAGCGGGGGCTTGGGCATCCACGACGGTGGTCGTTATCTTCAACGGGGCCCGGGCAGAATCTGGAT